TTTTTTTTTTTTTTTTTTTTTTTTTTTTTTTTCCCTACGCGATAGTAAATAGTTGTGGTTTTTAATGGTTGAGGTGGTGGTTTCGTTTTAGTTTTTTTGTTTTTGTTTTTTTTTTTTTTAATTTTATTTATTCAATAATGAACAAACCTCTCCATGGCTTACTTTGACGCTCTCTGGATTAACTATAAAGAGAAAACCTCTTAAACTACTTAAAAAGTTAAAAAGCGGAAATTCTTTGCCGGACATATTAACTTTTCATCTGTTAACAGCAAACTTAGGAATCCTTGCTCCAGCGAACCAGATTTCTTCCTACATTTTTTTCTCAGCATGAAAGCTTATTTTACTCGTTCTTATCAGATTTAGAGACCTAACATTATGTTGAAAGAGTATTGTAAGAATAAACCTCGCATCTACGGATTGTCTAAGCTGAAGTCTATACAGTTGCCAGGTATCAGTTTTGTTCGTGTTCAGAATTCACCATATGTGCATCTGTGCCCAGACCATACTGAAAGCTGTCGCTTAAAAACTAAGGTTTGTGGTTTGACATTTTTTTCTGTCATTTATATACATTTCTAAATTTGTCAAACAGATATTAACAGCTCTGGTGTCTTGATCTGGCTTCATAATGATAATCAAAATGCTATGCTAAATGGATCTCCAATATAACCATATTTTGCCCACAATTTTTCAAATCGGATCTTTGAATTTAATTCGCTTTAACTGATTTATACAAATAAGTTGCAGCTGTGAATAATAGCTTATGATGCCATAAGTGCTAAAGGTGCTATAAGAATGTTGATCATCGATCTTGACAAGTTTATAGAAGCTATGGACAAAGGAACACGATTTTAAGTATTTTAAATATTACAGAAACAAAGTTAGAATAAAAAACCTTATAGTTGGAAGTTTTTTTACTATATTGGATAATGATGTACCACGAACGCATGATTGAGGCTGGAGCGGTTTTTCTACTTAAACTGATTGCGCCACAGAGAGTTATTGTGGACCCATTTTGTCTAAGAAGTTCAACCTCCGAGGTTGATAAATAGCAAGGATTAATTATCATATTGGTGCTAAGAACTGATCGATCGACTTAATCCCCAGGCTATGGCATTCTTAATCGGTGCAAATTGTTTAGGATTTTTATAGGGGTACTTGTGATACGTCGGTGGAGTAATGACATTGACTCTGTTATCTTGGTTCTTTATCTTGATCAGGATCTTATTCCTTCTTTTGATCGTTTTATATTTCTTTCTTTCTTTCTTCCTTTCTTTCTTTCTTTCTTTCTTTCTTTCTTTCTTTCTTTCTTTCTTTCTTTCTTTCT